GAAACCTGGACCCCGACGTCTTGCAGCATCGAAGGTCACCAGAACAACTTCCTGAGCCAGCACACGTGACTCATGCTCATGCTCGTACCCCTTCTTTCTCCTTCATTTGTGACACACTCCGGCAGTTGGCAAAGTTGCGCACATTTTAAGAAAGCTTTGAGTGAGTCTGCTAGATGTTAAACGGCGATGGAAAGGCTTTGCCATTAACGATTAAGCTAAGCGAGGCGTCCCAGTTTTTTTCTTTTTCCACGCTTTAGTGGCTTTTTTCATGTTTAAGTATGTACCAACTTGCCCAACAAGCAAAACTCCTGAGCTTTAGTTGTGTTTGGGTGCAGTGTTTATTGGAGCGTTTAGTGTGCGTTAAAAGGCATCGGCAAAATTGGTTCACCTTTACGAAGTGTGAGAAATAAAGAGGAGACCTGGACCCCGACGTCTTGCAGCATCGAAGGTCACCAGAACAACTTCGTGAGCCAGCACACGTGACTCATGCTCATGCTCGCACCCCTTCTTTCTCCTTCATTTGTGACACACTCCGGCAGATGGCAAAGTTGCGCACATTTTAAGAAAGCTTTGAGTGAGTCTGCTAGATGTTAAACGGCGATGGAAAGGCTTTGCCATTAACGATTAAGCTAAGCGAGGCGGTGGCTTGTTATACAGGGGAAGTCATCCATTCAAACTGTGGTGTGTCGATGACTTCACCATCACGTTGTTTGTCACCTATGGGTCATAGTGGAGGCTTTTGCTCTTCTTGTGTCGCTTCTAGTATGAGGAGTCCAATATTGGTTTGCTCTTGTCAACTCTCGAGGTTTCCCGACAATTTTTTTGCTCCCTAGGATATTCTTGACATTCAACTTCAAGCTTCTCCAGCCGGTGCGCAGACATGTTCTTCTCGACAACGTCGGGTGTCAGGTGGTCCTGAGCGTGCGCCTGATTTCAAAGTGCATCCGAGCTTGATGAAGACTACTGGATCGACAGCGATTCTACTTCCTTGCTTGATCAGCATCACGATGATGCCGAAGCATCCTGGTTTCGTCGAGCAGTGACCTCGCCAAGAACGGGAATCTCGGATGCGCCTGAAGACAGCGGAGATTAGTCCACATGCTCTGTGGCCGTTAGCAGATTGTCGCTGTCTGTCCCGGCATCGCGAACGACGGGCCACATCGAGCTGAGGTTTTCGTATGAATGAGTCTCAGTCATAGCGGTGTTTTTGGAGACATTGCTGTGGGAGTCTCCTGACGATTTTTCGATCGCGGTGCGTCCCACTTCGCAAGGGTCCTCGTTTCCGCCAGTTTCCTACGTGATGCACATGACATAGAGCGGCAGCTGTGGGGTGTGGTGGTTATACATCCAGCGCAGGTCTCTGGCATCAGGCACCATCTTTTTATGATGTTCGGCGGTGTCGCAAGTGGTCATGGAGTGTGGGTACTCGGTTGAGTGTAGCTCGTAGTAGCGCTGCAGCTCGCTTTTTCGACCGTCTACTTTCTTGGGCTAGATGAAAGACGCACTGGAGAACCTGCCACCAGGATCGGGCTTGAGAAACATAAAGAGCCAGTAGTAGGACTCCGTGTACTGTTGGTTCTGGAGCAAGTCCTGAAAGCGCACGATGCCGCGTGACGGATAGTACAAGAGTTCGTCGTCTGGCTAGTAAGACAGACTTGTCAAGCAGGGACTCGGGTTGTAGGCAGCCGAATTTTCGGAGTCAATGCACACGGTGCACCCGGGGTATCCCTTAGCCATTGAACTCTCCATGGTGTACCTTCCGGACGAGCCCTTGCACCCAAGTAATGTGGATCGCATGGACAGCGACAGTTTTTCCAGTGTGCATCCGAAACTCAACTGGTGGGGCCGGATTTGAGGTAAGTTGTGCGTAGGCTTGTGGCTGACGAACTGCGTAGCCCGGGTTAGTCTGAAGCAAAATACTGGTGTTGCCGTAGGGAGGCGGGAAGAGGGTAAATTCATGGCCCGCTGCGGCTTCGAGGCGAGAGGGGTCGTGAGGCCGGTTGAAGGTGAAGTCACGGCCTGCTTTGACGTCGAAGCGAGAAGAGCTGAGAGGCTGGTCGAAGGCGAAGTAATGGTCTGCTGCGACATTGAGGTGAGAGGGATCGTGAGGGCAATGGACAGTGAAGTTGCAGCCTGCTGTGACGTCGAGGCGAGAGGGGTCGAAAGGCCGTTCGAAAGCGGAGTTGTGACCTGCTGCGTCGCCGAGACAAGAAGGGTCGAGAGGCCGGTCGCAAGAGTTGTGGCCTGCTGCCACGTTGAAGTGAGAGGAGTCAGCAAGCTGGTCGAAGGTGAAACTGCGATCTGGATGCGAGAGGCTTACGGAGTGGGGTGGGTGCGACTGCAACGGATACGGGTGGGGTTGGTTGCCGCGGCTCGGTTGAGGGGTGAAATCTCCTTTGAGCGCAGAGGACTTTGTCCTCGAACTCACTGGTGGTAGTAAGGTCTGCTAAGAACTTCTCACAATGAAGAGCAGCCTGGATGTCCTTGGTCAAGTCCATAAGTTTGGCATGCTTCGGGACAATGAAGTTGAGTACATCTTAAAGCTTCTCAACAGTGGTTCACGAGTCTTCCAGCAGGGCATCGAGCAATGAGATGTGTTGCGTGATGGCTTTTCGGACAAAGCGGCGTTTCGCCCGCTTCGTCCAAAAAGCCATCTTGCCCGTAGAGTTGATCTATGGGCGAGAGTTGAAGACCAGATAACCGGGTGGGTTTTGGCACCAGAACGAAGTGTGAGAAACGAAGTAGAAGACCTGGACCGGGATGTTTGCATGGCAGCATCGAAGGTCAACGGAACAACTGAGCGATCCAGTGCCCGCGACTCATTCTCCTGCCCGCACTCCTTCTTTCTCCTTTATTTCTGACACGGACGGTGAAACAGAATATTGTGCCTGGTGTGTGAATAATGATGCATCTTGTATACAGAAAAGTTGGCACTCATTGTGGGCGAGTAGCAGTGACCAGTTGTCGATGGAACATCACCATTCGACATTTTAGTCAAGTTAAAAATAGACTTGTGCGAATATTCAAACGTGTAGTAGAGTATTCGAAGTCGTTTCAATTCGAAATTAAAATATTGCATATTTAGAAGTATTCGCAATGAACGAATAGCTGTATCTTATTCCGCATGTAACGGCTTGTAGAAGTGATTTTACTGAAGTGTAGCGGTGCTAAGCCTTAAAAGCACCTGTCCAAGGGAAATCCGCTCTAGCGTGAAGCCTCCGTTGTAATTTAAAAAAGCCCTGCAACACGTTTTGAGCATATCGTGTTATGTAACATAACACGATTAAACCGGAAAAATGCCAGTTTGGATTCGAGAAGCTTCGTTTCCTCGGTCATGTAATCAGCGCTCAAGGTGTTGGCCCGGACCCGGAGAAGACTGTGGCCGTGAGGCTGTTTCCCAAACCAAAAGACAAGAAAGAGGTACGCCGATTTTTGGGTTTATGTGCTTATTATAGGCGGTTTGTGAAAAATTTCGCGAAAATTGCCGAACCTCTAACAAGACTCACAAAAGAAAACGTGCCATTTATTTGGTGCACTAAACAAGACAGTGCATTCAACGAACTAAAGGAACGTTTGGAAGCCCCACCTATCCTGGCCCACTTTGACGAAACCGCAGATACGGAAGTTCATACAGATGCCAGCAATCTTGGCCTAGTTGCGGTCCTGGTGCAATGGTAAAATAGAGTAGAGAAAGTAATAGCATATGCTAGCCGCACCCTCTCAAAAGCGGAAAGAAACTACTCTGCAACCGAAAAATAGTGCTTGGCAGTCTTAAGGGCGATCAGCAAGTTCAGGCCATACCTCTACGGCAGGCCGTTCCATGCCGTCAGCGACCACCACTCACTTTGTTGGCTGGTGAGCTTAAAAGACCCATCGGGACAGCTTGCGAGATGGAGTCTCAGGCTCCAAGAGTATGACATTACGGTCGTATATAGGTCTGGCAGAAAGCATGATGATGCTGACTGCTTATCACGTTCACCAGTCCACTCGACTCTTTCAGAAGAAGAGGACTTCCCACTCCTTTGTGTGATAAAAATCTCACAAATCGCCGAACATCAACGGGCTGACATGGAACTGCTCGCATTAATAAAGTATCTCGAAGGGCACGACGAACAAGTTTCTCGCGTATTTAGGAGAGGGTTATCCTAATTCTGCCTCCAAGATAATGCACTTTACAAGACGAATTTCAAACACAACAAGAAGTTCTTACTCGTTGTATCATCAGCCATGAGGCATGAAGTCTTAGAAACCTGTCATGATGAACCGTCTGCTGGTCACTTGGGCGCGAGTCGAACTTTCGCCAAAATTCATCAGAAATACTACTGGCCCAAGTTGCTAGCGTCCGTGAAGCATTACGTCAAGACATGTCGCAAAGGCGAAAAACACCACCCCTCAAGACGGCCGGCCTTCTGAAGCCTATAGAGCCACCTGCGACTCCATTTCAACAGGTTGGAATGGACCTCCCCGGACAGTTTCCAATGTCAGCATCAGGAAAAAGGTGGATAATAGTTGCGACTGACTATTTGACACGATACGCTGAAACCAGCTGCCTTGAGCGAGGAACGGCAACGAAAGCCAAACAGAACCTTGCCCAACCTTTCAGCAATGCGCTCCTACAGTGTGAGAAAGTGCTTGAACAAGGTCAAGCAAATTATCACCTCCTTTTTCGGAGTCAGCAATATTGGAAATATTTTTCTTTTGATTACTATAGTAGTACTGTATACTTCAAAAAGTTTAAGTCAGCTACAGTTGGTTTGTGTGAAATAAAGTCATATTTTATTCATTTTGTGGGCTTTGTTTAAATGAAACTTCTCATAAATGGAACAAATTTTCTTGCCCCTTCGAGTTCCGTTTAAGAGGAGTACACTGTGTTTATATGGCCGGCCTTTCACCGTTGCAGTTAAAAGGTGCAGTTGTCTCTTGAAACGTGAAATTGCGAGTGAGTAGTGCTTGATCATAGCAAGCTGTAAATTGAGAAATTTCGCTGGTTCTTTATGCAGGCTTGTATGGTGGAAGATGAAAATGCAGTAGACCCGACTCAGGAGACCATTGTATTCCTGTACAAGTGTGTGCCAGGCCCCTGCCCCAAGAGCTATGGCTTCAATGCTGCCAAGTTGGCAGGTGTCCCACAGCAGGCAAGAATTGTGCTTTTCTCTTTGAATTGCATTCACTCATTTGACATTTCACAGCAGAAAAATACTGAAAAAGGAAGTTCCATCATGTCTCACTCACATGCCAGTGTTCATGGCCTCCAAGATTTATGTTTGTGCCATTACAATCTCAACTTCTCTGTCCTTATTGTCAATTTCTGCAAGGCTCAGCAAGATTTCATTACTTAACATCCTACTAATGTCTAGACCACTGTATATGCGTTGAAATCTGATTAGATCAAACAGGCTGGAGGTATATGCTTGTTCGCATAAACTACCGTATTTACTCTCAGAAATTGCACACTTTTTTTTTTCACGGTTTTGGGGCTTCGAGAAGTGGTGTGCGAATTACGTGGAGATATCGTGAACGCATGTGAAATAATGCCCGATAGACCTAACACATGCAGTATGTACATTTAAATAAGACGATAAATTGGAGCACAAATGAAGTGTACTTATTATTTAACAGAATTAGTACGTACTTTAAATAATCATATCCGGTCGTGGGCAGTCTAGTCGAAATCATTGATCGAAAGGTTTGATTTATAATCATCGTCCCGGCCGCTGTCACCCCCGTCCCAAAGCGCATCGTCCTCAGTTCTGTCAAGTGCGTTCAAATTCCCCACTCTCTTTACTTTTCTTGACAATGATGGGTGAAACTAGGCCCCACAACATGACGATACTGGGAAACCTAAGTGTTTGCACTTAATCGAAAAAGTCTTCAAGGGCAGAAAACTTGTATTAGCAGGGGTGGATCCTGTGCTGCACCGATTGCGTCATTTTGCGCCAATCTGACTTGCTCCACCAAGCTGCGCATAAAGGCAGTTTGCGCATACTACGTCAAATTTTGACGGGTCCTATAATGAAGCAAACAACAAGGTTTGGATACACAAAAGACACAGCCGTATTGACATCCCGCATAATTCAGTCACGTCATATTTCGGTTCATGCATAGTGTCCATAGCATGCGTGAATTTGACACCGTGCATCAATTTGCACTACGTGAACAAAATTCCCAAATCTTGTGAAGGTATTATATAGCTGTGAAAGTATTATTTAACAGTGAAACCTTTAGTCAAGGCGTAAAGACGGCAGTGCTATTGCAAGAAACTCACTGCGCACGCCGTTGCCCTTGCAACCGTCGAACATAGCGCACACCTTGCGATGGAGACCGTCAAACCACAAAAACGGAAAAAAAAATCATTTTCATCGCAAGTGTTAAAGTGGAATGCAATAGACTCCGTGCAGTGAGACTGGCGCGCCGGCGCGCGGCCGTCAGAGAAGACAAACGTTGAGAGCCCGAGCAGAACGAAACACTCCCCCAACGTTCGCTAGCGCGTAGTTTATCTTAATCATAGAGTTTTATACAATACCTAAAGAGGAATCTGGCGCTACGATCGTGTACCCTCATGGGAATTATGGGAAGTGCAGGCTTCTGATTAGATAGCGTTAACTGGGGAACTGTCTACTGACTTTTTTCTACAGTTTTAATTTCGTTCTTCGCGCAGCGCCGTTATCGGGGTGCGATAAAAAGCACTGAAGCAGCGCCTTTGTTCTTCAAAGAGGCTCAAGACACTAGGTCTGAAGCTTTCTGCGACGCTGGAGCTTTACAAGTCGTATTTCACAGTTTAAACGAAGCATCGTCCACTCACCGCTGCGCATAGATGTAGCGTTTCATGCAAGTGCAGGATATTGCATAGAGTTCATGTTTTTTCACGAGCGCGTCTTGCCTAAATTTGTTTTAAATCGACTGCAAAACGATGACGAAGCTAAGTAGACGCACCGTCATGCTCCGCTGACTCGACTTTCCAACCGAACCAAAGGTGCGTTGGGGGCAGACCACTTGGACAGATGCACCTAGCATTGCAGAAGACAAAACGTCAAGTGTTTCCCACTTAATACTGTACTGTTATTTCCATAAATAGATAATTTGTGCACTCGAGAGAAAAACAAGTATGTTTGTTTTCATGCGTTGTAAAAAATAATTATTAAATCTTGGTGCTAAACTTGGAATGCAATGGTACGGCAACGCGTACCCTGATGGTTAAATTTACCCAGGTTTCACTTTTGCCGCCTCGTCAAAAAGTCTTTTTGCAATAAAGTTTGCATACAAAAAAAAAACAAAGCAAGTTTCAATTAAACACAAGTTTATGTCACTTTTTTTTATACTCGGAAAAGAAGCGTCGTGAATCTCAAGAACGTAATCTATCCAAAGCGGATCCGAAGATTGTACTTCCCGTAATTTCCATAAGGGTACAAGTGCCACTGAAGAGCCTGCATAGACACTAGCGACAGATTCCCCTCTAGGCATTATTGTATGAAACTCTATGATCATAATCATGAACTGCTGTGTAGTCGATTGCACTAACAGGTACACGCCGTGTCGTGTGGGAATGAAGTTTCAAAGTTTCTCGACTTGTCCCTGCTTTTTTGGCAGAAAAATAAGTAGATCACGGTTGTGGAACGTAGAAAGTGTTTAGTTCCCATTTCCTCTGCCGTCTCGCATTCTTCCGATGGGTACTTGAAATCGTCTGAGACATCCTCTACACGTGCGATGATCTTGTGTGATGTTCTTGCTGCCATAGAGCTGGTGAAAAAATACACGCATGCAAGAAATTTTATTTCAGATCAAGGCTGATGGGATGTTTTAATGAACCTTAATAAATACTACCTTGCCGTGTACCATTCTCAGTTTTGAGGAATGCAAAGCGAGGCCAATTAGTGCTTTCCTGAGTTGATGAGTCCATCTGTGAAGGGGCAAACTGAGTTACGTAGGATTTTACCGTAAACACAAGTAGCCACCTAGCAGCGTATGTGCAGTCGATAGGATCAACCTTGTATGTCAGTTGGTTGGTTGCCCCGCCACGTTGGTCTTGTGGCGGGACAACCGAGGTACTCAACTGCTGACCCGTAGGTCGCAGGATCGAATCCCGGCTGCAGCGACTGCATTTCCAATGGAGGCGAAATCTTGTAGGCCCGTGTGCTCAGATTTGGGTGCACGTTAAAGAACCGCAGGTGGTCAAACTTTCCGGAGCCCTCCACTATGGTGTCTCTCATAAATATATGGCAGTTTTGGGACGTTCTGCCTCACATATCAATCAATCGGTTGGTTGGTTGGTCCTTCCTAAACTGGTTCAAGGCACCATGGGGGATCGGCCATGAAATGGGGGGTGCCTTGTTATCAATAAATGATTTTGTTTATAAATCTCAAAATCTTTAGCAATTGATCATTTTCTAAATAACTAATTAGATTAATTCACGAAAAAAGCATAATGTCGAAGAATAAGTTTCACTTACATAACCATACAATTCATTTCGTATCGCGTGGCAAATCGCATATGGCATCCCAAACACGCCTGTGTCTGTAGCTCCAAAGGAAATAACCGCCACAAGTAATGAATTGAATCCCATCTTTTAGATTTGGTTCATTCAAAAGCCTTTTTCTTTTACTGTTAAACAATTTGCATGTTAGGCAGCAAAAATTCCGGGCTAGAGTATAGCAGAACTATACATGGTAAGAAACGATGCTTCGCGAATGCTGTAGCGACGGATGTGCATGTCGGTGTTTGTTTCAGAAAGCAACATAAACACGCAAAGGTTATAGTAAATGAGAGACACGTGACAGTGGCCGAAGTGACCGTGCCGTCGTCGTCAGCACTCTGCAAGGTGAAACGAAAGACAAAATGGAACGTGCGCCGTCCTCTCTGGACTAAATCTTCTCGCATTCCTTTTCCCCCCCGCGCCTCAAGCTCTTAGCATGAGCTGCACGAGCGGCGAGGTAAAGACTATGATTATGATGAGCGACGATGATGCCGCGACAATTTCAAGCAAAGCGCTTGGCGAGACTCAAGGGCTGAAAATCGTCGTGGCATGACGCCGCAACCAACGAGCATGGCAGTTTCCATGCCGAGTGGCCGTGGAGCCATCAATATTTCTAAACACTCCGAGTACTTTGCAAGTATGCGGGTAGTGGGCAAGCACTAATAATAATCTAAATTCGAAAGAATGACAGCTTGCCGCAATAGTTATGCAGCAAGCCTCATGCATTGCGCACACCTGACATGTGCGTTTAGCCGTCATTCTTGGCGATGGGCAGCAAAGTGATCACTAACGCAAAAAACTTGGCCGCTTTCATAAAGGTTTTCCCATTTATTCATGGTGGCATCGCGGAAGATTGTCCTCCTGCAATATCTTTAAATTCTGCTCGAAGCATGCACTAACCTGCCGGCCACGTGCGCTTGTGTCACCATAGTTATCAAAGCAATGAGGCGCTGCTGTCTGCTACGACTCTCAATGTTGTGCACCCGCCACACCAGAAGTGGCGCTGCGCGCGCCTTTCGAGGCGTCTCCTATAGGTCCTGCACAAAATGTATAGCAATAAATCGTGATGTTATATGAACTCTTTTAGATCCAATATCGCATAACTCTACAAAACACTAGTCTAAGAGGATACGGCCGCTCCTGGAAGAACAGCTCTTTTCGCACAGTCTCTTCGCGTTGCGAGCACAGTACGTAGAGGGTTATACGAGCCGTGCGCTGATACTTGCCGGGATAGCATGTGCGCCAGCGATGGCAACAGTGCCCAATCCAAGTTAACAGCTGCTTCTTGAGAACCCCCCCCCCCCCCTCCAGGCTTGCGTCTTTTTGTGCTTGTTCAAGATGGTCCTCTTTGCTTGAGCATTGACAGCAGTCAATGTGCAGCGGTATACGTCATCTCATGCACCTTCACAGTGACGGAGATGGGCTGGCTTGTCTGTTTTGGGCTTGAGCAGTGCTCGTCTTACCCACTTGCGGGCTTTTTTTGTGCGAGTAGAACATATGGTGCACGGAAATGTTAACAACTCGGACTTTACGCGTGACAGCAGCGGCTGCAAGAACCCTTCAACAGTGTTCATTGAATTGATATTGCAATTAAATAATTTGCACCAGCAACAGCGCAGCGAGCACGTTGCTTATCTCTATTTTTCCTTGCGGTTCACATGTCT